AATAATAAAATTCACATTAATCTTTCACGAAACGCTCGGAAAGAGGCAAAGTTAAGGGGGAGTGGAAAGGAACGAGATGGGCGCTCGTCGCGCTTCAGGCCGGAACTGTGGAACTATTTATGACTCCAGTCCATTTGTCGAACGTCACAAGGGATTTCCGGAAATTGCTTTAAACGCGTAATGGCACGTCCGCTTTGGTAGTTTACCGGCTAGGGTTACCAGCTGCCATAACAAAATCGTTGATATTGTCCGCGATGGCACCGCCGGCGTGCGTGACTATTGCGAATCGACAAAAACGATCAGCAGACGCCAACGGATAGGTATTCTTTCCTACGTCGCTCGTGGATGCAAAGCGATTTCTAGCAATTACACGCGAATCGTACGTCTAAAATAAATTCGGTCTCGTCGGTATTAAGTTCTCCTTGGCGTCGGACGTCCCGTTCAGCGAAACGCGAATACTAGTGAGCGGAATGTCGTGGCATTCTGCAAATTGTTTCGTTGCATTCAAATTAGTCCGTGCAAAAAAACATAACAGAAAAGATAATGATAATATTAATATTAATGTATTCTTATTGATATACATGTGTAATACAAAGTTATGAGAAATAGTCTGTTTAAATGTAAATTCGCCGAAATAACTTTATGCTTCCAATTCATACATTATACAATAATAATAATGAAATATTCATAACGTATGTTTGTATTGCAGATTTTGAATCTCATTTTTCCAGCTTCTTTCGTGTATCTGATTAGTTGCGCATTTAATGAGCGCGATTGAACGAGCGAGTACGAGCGTAAAAAGATCAATTTGACAGTTTGTATGTTCAAAGATTTAATATCTTTAAACATTAAAAATTGTTTGACAAAATGAAAAAATGCTAAAATGTATTTAGATACGGATAAAATAAATGTAACGTAAAATATTGTGCGCTATATGCTATAGTTATATAAAATATACAATTAAATACTTAAAAAAATACATAAAATTCTAATCTTCGCAACACGTTTAGACTTAAAATAAACTAACATTTTAAAACGCAATGAATCTTCTCATTATCAACACTACTCTATACATAGCTTAGTTAAAAACTAATATATATACTGAAAGAAGAATTTAGTTGACAAAACCAAAATTTGATTAAAATGGTATTAACCTAATGTTTGATAATTACAACCAAAAAATTTAACTGCCGCTATTTTGCCTTTATTTCTCAGTAATATATTTATTTAATTACTAAACGAAGCAAGATAGCGGCAATTAAAATTTTTAATAGCAATTACCAAACATCTCGTTGATCCTATTTTAACCAAACGTTAGTTTTGATAGTTAAATTCTTTTTTCAATGTATTATTGCAATATGTATATAATATTCAATATCATGTAACATGTAACATTCAAAATAATAACGCGATAAGAACAGTATAATACAGTATATTATTTGATAAAGACGCGACTTTGAAGTATCCCAGTACCGTCTGAATTCTTCCGGAAGTTCGGCGCGTCTCAGCAGAGCTCAAATTATTAACCGCAACTCCCATATTGTGCCTCGTGCAGAACCGGATGGCATAATTAAGAGGGTTCCCGCTGTCGTTGACTAGCACGTGACTCGACCTCGGTACGGCCTGGCACATACATTTTCAGACATGCAAACCGGCGCTGTGAAACCGACGACGTGTCTTAGGTTCGGCTTTACCCGGCTATCTGGATCTAGTTACGAATTTGCATTACGGGATCGCCGGGATTTCCCCGCGAATTTCGTGGGCCGCGTTCGTTCAGTTCTACATCAGGGTCGTTTGTCGTTTATTTCTCGGAACATACACTAAAAAAATTATTTTTGTATTTTGAACTAAAATATGTACGTACACGATTTGATTGTCATTACTTTATTTTCACTTGTGCTACGTATTATAAAACTTAAAAGAAGTCATGGACAGTATACGATAAGCAGATAATAAGCTATATGTATATGTGTATGTGTGTGTGTTATTTTTTTAAGTATATTTACTATTTATGGTTTACAGCCTTTAAAGCAGGCGTTTTTTCATGGATCATAAATAATAAAGATAAAAAATTAATGCGCACGTTATGATGTTTTAAAATTGACTAGGAACACTGAGGAACATATTGTCACAAACCTAGGGCGTTTTACTTTGCAGAATATTGACAAAACGTCCCACTGAAAGTTTTTGTTAAACATTGTTTTATTGTTTTTTCGTGTTGTTTATATATTTGTTCTATAATTAGTAAAGACGAAAACTATAATCAGTTTGTAGTTAAATAAATTGTAATTTATATATAACGGTATATATAAAAACAAATACTTTATTAAGTTTTGAAACATTAGTTTTAAAACTTTAAAACATAGAATCTTTGTTTTAGAAGTTTTAAAACATAGAAGGTATTGTATAGTTTTACCCTATACTGAAAAAAGGATTTTATTGTCAAAACGAAAAAGTTGATACACCAAAACAAAATTTGGTTAAAATAGGATTGACCAAATATCTAATAATTGCAATCAAAATATTTAATTGGCGTTATGTGTGTTTTGCTTTCTCAATAATATATATTTCCAACTACGTGGCTCTACAATTTGTTCGTACCTAATTTCGTCCCATGTCTATAAATAATACATATAATTAGTAAATAATACATATTACACACATACTGCCATGCTAAAGAAAAAAGTGGTTAACTACATTTGTGACAACCACTTTTTTCCTTGGCATGGCAACATATATATATATATATTATGTTTAGAACGTTTTCGTAACGTAAACTTCTTTATCTTATTTATTAAAAGTGTTATACAGAGACAGCAGATTTTTATAAATATCAATTGCAAATTGCAGTCTTTTTAAACTATTTTCGCGTGAATAAATAACATCTGGATCAAACATATCTTTAGGTAAATAAAAATGTAGATGTTGGAGCGAATATTTAAACCAAATGTTGGGAGGATAGATTTTTCATACTGAAAGAAAAATCTGGTAATAATCAACAAAAACATTTGATTTGCAACAAACATTTCAGTGCAATGTTTGGTAAGAAGTATCGAATATGATAATAGTTACCAACTGCTTGATAATAATTACAAAATACAAATGCACAAATCTTCTTTAATTAATATCTAAAAATCTATGTGGTTATTTGAAAGAGACTTTTCAAAATGATAAGAGACTTTTCTGTTTAATTTGATCTAATATATAAGTATATATATGGCAGACAGCGCCACTACAGTTTATCTACTATATCGTGCGTGATCATTTACTAATCTTTTTATTAATATCAATTAATATCTCGGAATTTATTACAAATATCGCAAAACAATATGGGACTTTTATGTTCACCTCAATCCGTTCTACGTTTCTACAAAAATTGCGAGAAAAAGCCTATATATTTCACAAGAACGCGGCATGTCCGCTCTATAATCTTATCATAGACATATCAAGACACGTCGAAATATATTACGCCGTTGCCATATGTTTAGCTTTCGAGAAAAAACTTGGACGCTTTGTCAACTGAGACGTATCGTGTAGTTTTAACTTACATGTAAAATGCAAAATCTCTAAATTTCTAAATAAAAATTTATTCTGCGTGAAAGAAGAGTCTACATTCAGAGAAAATTACATTAAAGAAGAAAAATAAATATCTGGCCATCTGAAATCCAAACAATATAATTTATGTGGAGAAACTTAATTTATACACGAAACAGTATATCTGACACAACCAGATTTATATGTGGACTATAACCCACTGCTTTTCCCGTGTTTTTCTCATGTCGTTACTTCCGTCTCCGACACGCTTCAGGCGCGTTAACCTTCGCTGTCTGAAGTGAAATTTTCCATGTAATTTAGGACAAACATGTAAACATACATAGCGCTAGATAATCTGGAAAAAAGTCACATCCACGAGCGTGAGGTCGTGCACGCGAGTTTCGTCGCGCAGCTGCGGCCGAGTTTTCGTAGACGAGGGGTTTGAGATCTACACGCATACACGGATTGTACGGCCCGATGGTGCATCAGCTGGTGAGACGCACCGATGCAATGTGAGAAGGCAGACGCGTTGCAAGCGGGACTCTTAACATCGCCCTTAATACGACAGCAGGCAGTGCATGCAACGCGACGCGGTTTAGCGCGGACATGTATATTCAGTAGTTCGCTGTGAAGAGGGTAATCCGGAGTGCGCGGAAATGGACGGCGATACCACTCGCGGGTTAGAGGCTTTAAAAGCGCGAGATGGGTGCGACGCGCGACGAGAGGAGAAGAGAGGAGAGCAGAAGAAGGTGAAGGGGACAACGGCGTGCGAGGGGAGCAGCCAGCTCGCGCAATGCGACTATCGCATCCTGTAAATCATATATAATTGTAATTTATACCGCGCATCATCCTATGTTAATTATAACCGGGTCGGGGCGTAGCGTCGCGGCCGCGGCCACGACGAAACGAGTTTACGAACGCGTCGCAACGCCGGGATTTACGAGCTTCGCAGAGGGTGAGCTATCCCGTGCTGAGGGACTTCGGTCGCATCGCTCTCTCGAATGTATCCCTCCTCTTCCTTTCGTTCGTGTTTGCGTTTTCTTTTCTCTTTCTTTCTCTCTCCCTCCCTCTCTCTCTCTCTCTCTCTCTCTCTCTCTCTCTCTCTCTCTCTCTCTCTCTCTCTGTCGCTTTTTCTCTCTTATTCTTTTTTTTTATCACGATACCGCAATATCTTGTAGATAGCGACGAACGGTCGGCGCAAATGTAATGAACGACTTTCGGTGTTTTCCCGAGTCATGGAAGGTAGGAAAGGTAGGAGAAAGAGTAAAAGAGAGAGAAAGAGAAAGAAAGAGAAAATAGAATAGAGTTTATTTATACCTTAGAGTTTATTTATACCTTGGAATTAACCCTAGGTTGGATTATAACTTAGGATTACAGATGCTTCACGTAGAATATCAGATGATCATCACGCAAGGAGAATAAGAAAAATAATTGTAGATAATGCCAATTTTTACAGGACGCTGTAAATTACGCAATCAATAAGAATGTGTTATAATTGCAACGGAAAGAGGGCGAGAACGAGAGAGAAAGAGAAAAAGAGACAAAGTCAGAGAGGCGAAGTTGATCGACGAAAGCTACGAAATATTGTCCCACTTCCTGCCTGAGAATTGCCGACTGACGTACACGAATTGCGAGCGCAAGTCAATAGACCTCCATTCCTCTCCCCTTCGTGATTCGGAGTTTAATACAGGTAAGTTTGTCACAGTGTTTACGTTTATGCTTGCCAAAAATCCCGTTATTAAAGCAAGTAGAGGAATATAAGAAAGCATTCGGAAGAAACACGGAGAGACGGAGAGAATCGTGAAATCAAATGAAGAGTGAAGCATGCTGTCGTTACAGCGAACAGCGTTTCTCGCTACGACAGTATTCGCTACGACTCGCGAATTGTGGCTTTTCGGTGCGAATTTGTACGCCACCACGCAAACCCACGGCTCCGATCGCGCCGCGAATTTTCATACTTGCGATTTTTCCTTCGCCTTCGTCGCGAGTGCATCCGATCGGATGCACTCGCGGCGCTCAGATTTCGGCGTTCGTGCAGATACGAGCGATGCGGCACGTATAAATGCACACAAACGCGAATCCGATGCAATCGGCGCGGAACGGCGTAAGAGAGCACTCGAGAGCGGCGAGCTAGCTCCGGGCGGTAAATGGCGGGCGAAACGCCGGACATTTGATGCCTCCCAAGCTCATCGGTTCGCAGCTGACGTGTACAAGGAAATGGCATTTAACGGATTAAAATCAGCCGTCCAGAGAGCTAACGTGCGAGAGCTCGATAACGGCTGGCTGGAGTTGGATTTTTGTGCGTTCGGTTCTTTTTTTTTCCCAGGCCGTCCATCGCGCCGACTTATCTATATCGTTATAAAACATCGGCGTGCTATCGGGTGTCGGTCTCGACGACGATAAGAAATCTCTCGCTGGGAACGCGTGCCTCGAAAATCGACGATAAGCACCGCCAGATCGAAAATAAAAATAATATCGTGCCACTTTTAAAAAATAATTCGTGTTCTAGAGATTCTAGAGATCGACGAGAATTTGTTAAAATTCCAATCTATTGACACCTGGCGTTTATGTAATCGCTTTATTTAAACCAGTCCGTATTTAAACAATCATTTAAAGTCGACGTTAATCGCGTTCCCTTTCTTCATCCGGGAAAGATACGAATCGACGAACTTCTCTATATTTCACCTCGCTTTGAGGGACCGAAATTGGACACGCCGTCGACCCCTGAAAAAAGGGTTAACGAAAACCGATGTTATCCGTATGAAATATGCCGTTGCGGAACCGCACAATATTTTACCTCGCGGCGATGCGGCCGTTTACTCTGTCTCCCTTGCGCGCGCGGCCGATATCACGGCGAGAAACGTAACGAGATTTCGGGGATCGATGACAGATTCACAGTGGGCGCCATCATCGAATTTGCTAACGAGACCCGTGACGATACCCGCGCCATCGACTCAGCGGAACTGTCATTAAAAAAGGCCAGTTATAGCGGGCCGCCCTGTGCCGGATAAAAACACGCGGATCTGCGATTGCGGTAAACGAAGCCACTTTGTACGAAGCGAACATAATCGATACGTCTGGCCGCGTACGGGCGAACGAAACGAATGGAAAAAGCTGGACGCGGATTAAGCCACGGCGCGCGATGTCGTTGACAATTCAACGGGGTGAAAATGTTTTGCCGGCGTATCTGGTCGCGCCAGCTGTACCGTATATAGCGCCGTCTATCGCATCGGCACCGCGTATCGGGAAAGATAATTCGATGTGTAACGAATTGCTCTTTGACAAACTTTTGTGTCCCACGCGCCTTCGTGGAGCGTGACCACGTCGACTGAGCGATTCGCGTAAGCCGATTCTGAATAACGATAATCGATATCACTGATCCTTTGCGTATTATGTGAAATCGCCGCCTGAAAGGCTGTTAATGAACTGCGATCGCTCGAAATTTCTGCCTCTTCCCTTAACGCAGTCGGCTATTTATGAGAGATCTCGCGACTTCAGCGTGTTACCGTCCCGCTTTTCATCCCATTAAGATGCACTTAGGGGCTACGGCAAAAATTACGGCTAAACAAATCGTATAATGTCTGCTGTCTCTAATCATATTTAATTCATGTCCTTTTTCTCCTTATCTTTATCACAGAATGTCTGATACAACACACGTACTTATGCAGATAATTTAGATTAAATTAAGCAAAAAATTTTTCATATTAAACCTTTTTATTTTTAGGTCAGTAAGAGCTGAATTCTGATATCCAAACGAAAATTTGTTAAATGTTGGAAGCATAATAATATTTGATATTGTTAACGAATGCACCGGATAAGTTTTCCAATTTTTATAACGTACGCACGATAAATCAATCTCCCACCTACCTTTAATCTTAATTTTTAATATTAATATTAATTAATTTCCTTATTACGCTATGATTTGCAGCAGGCGCATCTTTATTTCAATGAAAGTTGAAAACTACTATCTCAGCCAAGTAGTCGAATCCGGATTTTCCCATTTGCCAGGCAAGACGTCGTACCAAATCGGCCACTAAAACTTAGTTAGAAACTATCCATTGCGTGCTTTAACACTGTCAAACATTATTATACTACATTTAGCAAATATTCGCTCCAACATTCGATTCTTACTGGCCTAAAAATATGTTTAATATAAGTTATATACTTTGAGAGCTTGTGCATATCAAGAGCCAGGATGTCTCAAAAGTAACGAACACTGTAAAAAGAGAGAATAGAAGGAATCAAAATAAAACAAAAAAATAGTCATGTACCATTTTTCGGAAATCGCAATAGTCATTAAATTATTAATTTATGGTTGCCAATCGCCCGCATACGAGGACGGCGGCCGATGTGTTGTCTACCCACAGGTGCATAGGCATTCATATTTAGCGCCCGCCGCTAACGAGGAAAAGAAGACTCGCAGAAGAAAACCAGGCCACAGGCCACAAGAGATATAAGGAAAGTTATCGAAGGGATGCATCAGCTTCCCGGCTGCAATTCAGCTTCGAGCTGAGTTCGGCTTCTTCTTCGAGCTTCTTTTAGCTCCCGCTTTTAATTCAGCATCCAACGGTGTTGGATACATAAGTTGAATTCTCAAGAATCAGCGAACGACTATGATCCGCGGCGGAGGCTTCCCTACGACCGCCTTCAAGAACAACTACATCGCCTAGTAGACCTGTATCTGTCAACAAGACTATAGACAACAATAACACGGTCGAGAACGCCGCCTAGACCCGCGTCTGCCCAGTCGACGAGACTGCAGACAACGGTAACACGTCCGAGGACATCGCCTAGACCTGAGTCTATTCAGTCGACGAGACTACAGACAACGACAACGCGGCCCAAGCGAGTGTTCACCACGTCCGACTACTCCGGAACTACAATCACCCACACCGTTTCCAACGCGTGTGCGATGATCGCAGCGGCTCCAGAAACAGCAGCGGCAGCTTCTTCGGCTCCATAGTCTACATCGAAGTCCTCCTGTATCAATAGTAATTCCTCGTCAGTCTCGACATCTTCCTCGCAGCTCTCCTCTAAGAAGTCGCGACAGCAGCATCCCTCGGGACCTCACCGATTCTCAATCTTCGCAACCTCAGGAGTAAGATATTAGAGTAGAATAACTGAGCGTGTCAAGTGCTTTCAAAATTGTAACAAGCCGACACAAACTTCTTTATACTCTAGCAAATTTTACATAAAAAGAATAAGTTCTTTTTATTCTACAAGAAAGTGCAATTATTTTTTTCTACCTTTAACTTTTTGAGCCATAAAACTGTGGGAAAAGAGAGCACGCGTTAGTCACGCTTAGAATACTCCCCATAAATTAAAATATCTGAGCTACTGGGTGCATCGAAGGCAATAGATCGGACGTAAAAGAAAAATACAATGGCTTACATCTTAATAGCGATGACGGTTGACAACGCACGGTTCTCAAAACAAATGTCTAACTCGGCGCGTGGCTGTGTCGACCAATTGTCATCACTGCTAATTTAAGTTCATCTTTACTCAAGATTTTCAACTTAACATGTTTGCTACCAACGTCATTTTGTTCGCAAAATGGTAGAAGAATTTTTTGTTTAGTTTAACCTAATTTACACGTATACGATATGAGTATATGTATCGTCATGTATCCTATATAGTTTATATTACTATATACTGTAAAAACTGATGTTAAATTTAACATTTCATGTGTCCCAAATCATCCACTCTCATTTATGTGTAAATTAAACACAAAATAAATGTGGTAAAAAATAACACGCATAATATGTAAAAAATTAACACAAAAATTTAACACTTGAATACCGTCAGGAATCACAGTTTGTGTTAAATTGACTATGAATATGTATAATGTTAAATTAACTAAAATAAAACGTTACTTTAACATTTGAGAGGAGTATTAATCTACGGTTTTGATGAAATGATAATGTTAAATTGATATAATCTATGTCTGACATATTAAATATGTCAAATATGTCAATTTAACATAACCTGTGATTCCTAACGTTATTCAAGTGTTAAATTCTTATGTTAATTTTTTACATATTATGCGTGTTATTTTTTATCACATTTATTTTGTGTTAAATTTAAATGAGAGTGGAAGATTTACACATGAAATGTATTAAATTTAACACATCAGTTTTTACAGTGTAGAATAGAACTTGGCACGCGTTGAATATTTTGGCCAACTTTTGATTTGCTTCACCTAGCGCTATTCTCAGCAACTGTATAACTTCTAAATATTTGTTTCTAATAGGGGAAGCTATTGGAAATATATGTTTATAAATTATAAATTCCGGAGTCTCGAGCGGCTTGCAGGTTGCGCACGAAGCGCGATAAGGGGAATAGGTGCTAGGTGGAGCAAGTCGAAAATCGGCCAAAATGTACAACGCGCGCTGAACTCTGCAATAATGGAAAGCTATTGGAAATATATGCAACGAAATGTGCAACACGTGCCGAGCTCTACTGTAGAAAATGCGCACATATGCATATTACGAAACGCAGCCACTATGCCTATGGCCTTGCCTCACTCCGCGGTCTTCTTACGTGGTCTTAGTCAGAGAGAACAGTGTAGCACGAAAATATAATGCGCCGGAGAGAGAACAAATACAAACACCACACTGACGCAAGGAACGAGCCGACATCTGATGTCGATATCGCGACTTTGAACGCTAATGAGTTAACGTAGCGATGTAA